TGGACACTCCACATCCACCAACCCGGTTAAACCGCCGGATATTCGTTTTTCGTCTTCTCAATTTCGTAAACAACACCCATAGTGCGAGATGTCAGTGATTAGGACTTCCCTTGAAGAGGCTATATATTCGCGTGGCCATATGAGAGCATTTGGAGAGGGAGGGCGAACTCTCCCCACTCTCGACCGTATCAGGTCATCTGGAGGCATCGACTTAGATACTGACTATGGATATTTTTTAGCTGAAATTTAATCAGCCTTGATTATCATATTTGTGTTCTATAGTTGATAACTCTCTAATAAGATGTAACTTGTATGTTTACTTATATTACTCTCTACATTCCATTTCTAATTCAATAATAACTTGTATCATAGTAACAATAATAAGGTAATTCATATAGAATGTACACATAGATACCAATTAAGATGAATTAAATATCAGACAAAATATTAACTCATTAGAATGTCGCCATTTGATCTAGTGTAACCAGGTTAATGAATGATTGAAAACGAAAAAAATTTTTTTTTCTATTTTTTTCTTCTTTTTGTTTTTCGATACAAAAAAAATGGTATGATATTAAAGAATTTATGAAAATTTTATTTTATTTTTTTTTTGATTTGTAAGGTTGTATATATTTGCTGCCAAATGCCGCTGTATGGTCGAGAGTGAAGAGAGTACGCTCTCCCTCTCTCCAAATGCTCTCATATGACCATGCGTATATATAGCCTCTTCAAGGGAAGTCCTAATCACTGACATCTCGCACTATGGGTGTTGTTTACGAAATTGAGAAGATGAAAAACGAATATCCGGCGGTTTAACCGGGTTGGTGGATGTGGAGTGTCCACCTAGGAGAGTTGGAAAACCCTCATTCCAAACTAATGGTGCACATGGGCTGACTCCAGTATCCTGAGGGAACAAATGGCGTATGAATCAATCGTTTGTCATCGGCTACCATGAGACTGAATCTGCTCACGATGCTTCACTGTCTTTTGGATCAGACCTTTAGGTCAAAGTCTCCGGTTGTTGCCCCTTAAGTAAACCACCTGTTTCGTTTTGGGCACCTGGTCAGTATCACAGCCCTCTGACAAATTAAATGAGATTTGTGTGGCGCATATGTTCAAATAAATAAATATATATTTATCATAGTTGAAAGCGTGAGTCAATTGAAGCTAGGCCACCATGGAAAACCTGGAAACACTGGACGGCCGTCTCGTCTCATTATGGGACTCCTCAGAAGTACGCATCCACGGACCCGCTCTCGCGGGTCTAACTTCAACTGATCCACAAAGTTGAGCAACCATTCACCAATTGTCTTCAGTGAGTTCCTATCTCACAACAGACGTGGTTTTGAACTCCACTGGTCACTGCTTCTCACTAGAGCTCCTAGATATACTTCTCGAAGTCACTATTGAGCATCCAGGTATTCTAGGTTTTTCATGGTGGTCTAGCTTCAATTGACTCACGCTTTCAACTATGATAAATACTAAATCTCCACAAAACCCCTTCTATAATAAATATATATTTGTTAGAATAATCTAATAAGATTATTTAAACTTAATGACTGAAATTTAAATACTTCACTAATGAAAGATGAATGAAATTAGATTTTAGGATGCTATCAAGATATTGGAATGGAAATTTGGGGAGATTGTATTGATTTTAATGATTTAATTTATGATTCGATGTAAGTTGAACAACCTATTGAAAATCCAGAAGCACTGGACGACCTTTTCATCTTAGTATGAGACTCCTGAGTAATATGCATCCACGATCCTTCATTAAAGTGACTCGAACTCAGGACCTTCATTTATGCATGTAAATGCTTAACTTTTAGACTATTGAGCCTACATTCAACGATGTTAATGTTTAACATCAATCAATCCATGATCCTGTTCAACCATTCATTCATTATCTGAGGTATATAAGTGTCTCTATCTAACATGGATTAAACTCTACTGGTGACGGCTTCTCAATAGAACTGCAGGAAATCTATCTTGAAACCAGTCATTAGTAAACACATAACGATGATTATTAGAACGAGGGTTTGTGGAGATTGTAGTTACACACTAGTACCGTTGGATGCATATTCAGTAGTTTAGAGATTAAGCATTCGCGCTCAAGACAGAAGGTCATGTGTTTGAGTCCGTTTTGGTGAGGGATCGTGGATGCATATTACTCAGGAGTTTCATACTACAATGAAACGATCATTCAATGGTTTTCCAACTTATATCGATTCATCAATTCAACTATTCAAATCACTATCTAGATAAATCAATTTAAACAACATGAATAAGTCATAAGGTTACTATCTCGGGAAAAAAAAATTACTTCTTTATAAATCTTGATCTAATTCACTAAATATCATATTCAATAATATTGATTATATATTACATCTTTGAGAACTTTCTCTCTTTCATAAACACACACACACACATATATACCCTCTGATTGTAACTTGATACTTAGAAACAGATACCTTAATTAATCAATATCAGTAAACTATTCTAATCAATATTAGATTAGTTAGTAACAAATTATTGATAATCATATGATTTCATTGTATTTATTTATTTAAATTGAAATATAAATAACAATGGGTTAACAATAAACTAGTTATTCATTGGTCTCTTTAGGTGTCTTTATCTTTCCTTTTTGTCAACAACTATTTACCTAACTATATAGGTCTTATGAGATAGAATAGAAATCTATGTATGATCTGTATTTAAATTCATTTAGTATTATCAGAAGGGGTTTTGTGGAGATTTTAGTAATTTATAGGGTGAGAAGCAGTAACCGGTGGAGTTCAACCAGGTCTGTTGTGAGATAGGAACTCACTGATGACATTGGTGAATGGTTGCTCAATTTCGTGAATCAGTTGAAATTAGACATTAACACCGTTGGATGCCAGCTCAGTGGTCTATCGGTTAAGGTCTTCGGCTCAAAACTGGTAGGTCCTGGATTCGAATCCCGTGAGAGTGGGTTAGTGGATGCGCACTGCTGAGGAGTCCCATGGTAGGACGAAACGGCTGTCCAGTGCTTCTAGATTCATTTAGTATTGTTCGTTTGATTCTTCTCATTGATGTGTTAGAACTGGAACTGGTCGGCATATGTGCATACTGTGCGTATTGCTGCCTCGATATAGTCTTAATTCACAAGTATTAGGTTCGAGTTTCAGAGTGAACATCAACAAACCTGAGATGCAGGTACATCCATCTGATAAGTTCCAAATAGGATGAAACGCTCGTCAAACTGGATTCCACTGCTAGCCACTATCTATCTTTGTTTAAAATGAATTGTATTTGTTTTAATAAATGAATGGATAGTTATTTGTTTCGCGCGCGCAAGCGCTTAACTACTAAATCACTAAGTCAGCATTCTTATTTATGAATCGATGAAGTATAGTAACTAGAAGGGGTGGTCTCATATAGGAAGTATGAAATCTAATTCACGATTCTCATTTCATTAATTTAATAGTTGAATTTATGAGTTCATTGAAATTTGATCACTAAAGAAAACCTGGACAGACGTTTCGTCCTAGTATGGGATTCCTCAACAATGCTCATACACAATCCCACTTCACGAGATTCGAATCCAGGACCTACAATAAGAATCTATAATAAGATTTATAGATAACGAATGTTTTCCTAAGTAACTTTGTCCATAGTAAACTTGATTTTCATTTTTTCATTGAGTCACATTCTACATACCTAATTCATTGGAAATTGATAAAAACAAACTAAAACTGGGAACATTAAAAGAGTGTGGACTATTGGAATTAATCAAAAGCGAATATGAATGCCAAGACCATCATCATTGTATGATATATTTTATGTATATCAATAATAATAACATCAATCGGAAGTAGAAACTCTAACGGTAAAAGTTTAAGAAGATCAACTTGAATAGAAAACAGAAAGGTGAATGGAAAGGAATTATGATTTGGAAGAATCACACAAATGACAGGATTTTGAAAAATGAAGTATTCAATGTATGGTTTTTATATTTTACTAAGAGATTCTGTAACTATATACTAAAATACATTTTATAGTTGAACTCAGACGCCCGTTTCGTCCTAGTATGGGACTCTTCAACAGTTTTCATTCACAATCCCGCTTCGCGAGATTTGAACCCAAGACCTATCAGTCTCGCATGCTAATACTTAACCTTTAGACTACTGAGGTAGCTGCCATTCAAAGGTGATAATATTTAACTTCATCACTCTGTATTTATGACCATAGCAACAATAGTGTTTAAAACCAAGGAAACACAGAAACTACAATATGAAATGATCTAACATGAAAAAAAAACATTACAAAAAAGGCATAACCTTAATTTTTTTTGGCTTTTCTTGATAAACTTACCTTCTAAGAACTTTGACAAATATAAATATTTCTTGACCATCAGATATATCATCAACATATGAAATAGACATGATAATTTATGATATGATATATGATGTGATGTAAACACTTTCCCCTTCCTGTATCTATGCAACTATCTATGTATCTATGTATCTATATATATATATATATATATAGGTTTCCTTGGAAAATGTAAAGATCGAAGCCAGGATAGGAACTTGAAAATAAAGTATTCAATGTATGGTTCTTATATTTCAGTATGAGATTCTGTAATTATATACTAAAATACATTTTGATAGTTGAACCCAAACAGCCGTTTTGTCCTAGTATGGGACTCTTCAGCAGTGATCATTTTACAATCCACCCTCGCGAGATTCGAACCCAAAACCTAACGATCTCTTATGCTAATACCTAACCTCTAGACTACTGAACTAACTGTCATCTAACAGTGATAATATCTAACTTCAACCAATCAATATTTGGTTATTATCACTTTGTATTTTCGACCATAGCAACAATAATGTTTAAAACCAAGGAAACACAGAAACTACAATATGAAATGATCTATACATGACAAAAAAAAACATTACAAAAAAAGGCATAACCCATTTTTGTTCTTTCGCTTCTGTTGGATAACTTACCTTCTAAGAATTTTGACAAATATAAATATCCCTTGACCATCAGATATATCATCAACATATGAAATAGACATGATAATAGATGATGTAATATCAACAAGTTCACCTTTCTGTATCTATGCAACTCTCTTTGTATCTATGTATATATATATATATATATATGTGTATAGGTTTCCTTGAAAGATGTAAAGATCAAAGCCAAATTGAAATTGAGTTCTATTCTATTCTCATTAAAATAATTTTAGTTTAATGGTAAAAGTATTTCTATTCTATTATTCATGATTAGTTTATTAATAATCTAATTAAGTAGTATATAATGATACAATTTTTTTATTTATAAAAATGCGTAGGCGTATCCCATAACATGTATATATATATATATGTGTGTGTGTGTGTGGGTGTAAGTAAGTATATAGATATGAGTGTGCACTTATATACGTGCGTGCACGCCTGCGTACGTGTCTGCGGCGTGTGCGTGTGTATTCTCATTTTGGTTCCGTTATCAATACCCATTCAATTGTCATTCTATAAAAATTTGGCATTTTTATCATTAAAAAAGAAAAAAAAATCTCTTCAGAAAAATACAAAAAAAAATTTTCTTTTTTTTTTTTACTATCATAGTACTGGTTAAATTAAAGTCACATGATAATCATTAGGATTGGTTCATTTTGAATAAATGAATGAATGAAATAGCTTAGTTGATAAGATTGCACAAATGACATAAACAGTGAATGAAAAAAAAACATCACTTTCTTTTATCAATCGATAATGTAGTTTTTAGTGTTGATACTACTCATTGAATGTTTCTTTTCGGGGGGGGGGTGTATGTGTGTGTGTGTGTGTGTGTGGAGGGGTGTTTCTATGTGGAATTGATACAGGAAAATGTGTAAAAAATTAAATTAATTGATGAGTCAGGATATAAATATTTTCTATCATATAAGGGATTTTATGGATATTAGAGTAATTTTTAATAGTTGAGATAATGAATCAATTGAAGCTAGATCACTGTGGAAAATCTAGAAACACTGGATGGCCGTTTCATTCTAGTGTGGGACTTCTCAGTGGCAGTGCGAATCCACTATTCTGCCTCACGAGATTTGAACTTATTTAGTTTGTAGTGTTGATTGATTTGTTAAGTCCATATACCCATATACTAGCTTCTGGACAAGTCAATTTACCTACTCATCATGAGTCACGTTTTCACCATGTTAATTATTCACCTATCAACCCTGAGTGTGACTTGGTTTACCCACCATCTTCAATAAGTGTAATTTTCGCTTTGCTCCATTCTATTCGCTTCATCACTTTGATTTCTTGTCCAGATCAATGAATGTACAAAGTATATATGTATTCAAAACCCATTATCGTATTAACTTTTTGAACTCCGTTATTCACCAAAGCGGATTAAGTCATGTATTACATAGGAGGATAGACAAGATGTATATTTTGACAAAAAATCCTTTATATAATCTCATTAGAGTCAGATCCTAGCCCTCTATAAGTTTCAACAATTAGAATAACAATTATTAACTAGTTGTCTACTTACCTATCTAAGCTATTTATTTTCCTTCATTTAGGTAATGCAATAAATTTTGGACTGTAGATATATTTTACAATCGACCATTTGTGTTTTGTAAACATGCTTTGTTCAGTCACAAAAGTTAAAAGAAACAGTCTATTGTAAGTAAAGATAGATGATGATCAGTGGTAGAATGTAGGAAGAGCGTTTCATCGTACTTGGGACTCATCAGCTAGATGTACCTGCATCTTAGAGTTGATATTCACTCTGAGACTTGAACCCAGTACTGTTCAATTCAAACGTCATTGCGTCAACTACTTAGTTACTAAGTTTCAGAGTGAATATCAACTCTTGGATACAAGAACATAAAGTTAATGAGTCTCAAATAGAACGATACATGCATTTTGCAAATATTTACATCACTTAGTTACGTGGTGCATTCTGTCAGCAACTTTATGTGCAATAAATATCTGATAATTGAAGGAAGTCAACAAGATACCCTGCTTGATTATGATTTCATGATGTTTGATGTTCATCAGAAAGGCTTACCTATCATCATGAAGAAGCTGATCCTCAGTGTTGAATCTGAATCCACAACATACAGTTTCATAGTCTGAGACATTATCATTCAGCCAAATAGAACAAACCCTAGGCTCATGATTATCTATCGATGATCATTGAACACCTACATTGACAATATAGTGCACCATATGTTGAGTTATTTACATTGGTGGTCGCAATTCAGCTTGATTGGTATGTTATATCTGGATGAAGAATAGATGCATGGTCACTGATTATATTCATTTGTGGACTAATATTATATATGTTCTTATTGTATAACTATTAAGTAACTATGTTATATGTATATTCATATTCCTCATATTATAAGCTTTCATTTGACCTATTGGTTATATGAAATCACAAAAAAACCCGGAAGCACTGGACGGCCATTTCGTCCTATCATGGGACTCCTCAGCAGTGCGCATCCACGATCCCGCATTCGCGAGATTCGAACCCAGGACCTATCCGTCTCACGCCAAAGCACTTAACCACTAGACTACTGAGCCGGTATCCAACGGTGTTAATGTCTAACTTCAACCAATCCACGAAGTTTGAGTGACCGTTCACAAATTGTCTTCAGTGAGTTGTTACCTCACAACAAACCTGGTTGAACTCCACTAGTCACTGCTTCGCACTAGATCTCAAAGAAACATTCCTTGAAGTCAGTCACAAGTGTGCCTATGGTTATAGATCAGAAAGGGTATTGTGGAAATTTCAGTATTTTCATGGTTAAAATCATGAGTCCCATAATAGGACAAAACAGCCATTCAGTGCTTTCAGGTTTTTCATGGTGGTCTGACTTCAATTGACTCATGATTTCAACTATGGAAATACTGAAATCTCCCCAAAACCCCTTCTGATCTATTGATTACTGTCATTCGATTTACTATTCGTAAGCTATCTTTAAATTATTAGTTATAGTCTCTCACACTCACAGCCACGTTTTGACATGATCTTGTATAATTGTTATATTATATTTTATGGTATGATATGATCTGATTTGCTTGTATATTAGCTGTGGATTTTCAGCGGCTAATACTCCATTGGGAGTAACAGGCGTAAATAAGTAAGCTGTGCATGTCTGAAATACATGAATCATATCAAAGAGGTTTATATTGATGTTCTGGATTGAACCGGCTGGGTTAGGAGAGAAGCCACTACCTCAAAGTATCAGTAAGAAGTTAGAATTGATTCTGGACTGTTCGTAATGGTTTATAAGTCATTGGCCTGGTTAGTAAGTTCTAATTGGCGATCGTATTACGTGATAATTGACAGGTTATAAGAACATTTATTTATTTAAACACATAAATATTGGTACAAAGGGGCACCAGATATATTTGTGTCACACAAAACAATGAGAATGGGAAGAGAAAAGGGGTAAGATGGTAAGTGATGGGGGGAACTGAAATGCACAACCAGAAGATCTCTTTCAGTTAAGGAAGTCATGACCACTCTTTATGACGAAAGTAAAAGAAATTTACAGCAGGATCGCGCACTGGCTTCTATTCTGAGCCATATTTGATAACGTATCTAGACACTGCGTTGCACCATCTCTTAGACCCCATCCAGCGAGTCGTGAAGGACCAACAGGAGCCAATCCTGCACAGCTTTCTTTCATACCACAACACCATGTCATACACTGACTACCTCTCCGCTTTTTCCAACCAGTCCCAGTGTCGGCAAATAATGCACGACGTGGAATTCTCTGGGACGACATTCGTAGAACATGTCCAAGCCACCGAAGTCGGTGTTTCAAGATGGTGACACCAATCGAATTATGGTCTCTGCGCCCGAACACACGATGCCGAACCTCTGCATTACTAACATGGTGTTGCCACTGTATGTCAGCGATCCTTCTGAGACAACGATGATCAAACACAGAGAGTCTTCGAACATCCTCAAATCGAAGAGTCCAGGTTTCACAAGCGTACAGTAAACTGCTCTCACCGATGCATTGTACATTCGAACTTTTACAGCCAGACTAACATCACGAAGATGTCAAAGATGGTCCAGATTGGCATAAGCCGCTCTAGCTTTCATTATACGTGCATCAATCTCATCACTCACGCCACCACTAGCACTTATGCAGCTACCTAGATACACGAACTTCTCAACTACTTCAATCTGCTCACCATCCAGGGTGAGTACAGGATTAGAATCCTGCCAGTCTTGTAGGCGTACTTTGCACTTGTAGGGTGCAAAGCACATACTGTACCTGCTGAGACTGATTGACAACTGATTAAGTGTGGATTGCATGGCTTGGGCATTATCGCACATAACATCAAACATAACATGATACTATTCGGTTAGCCTGATATTCACAAGTATTTTAGTAATGTTTAACAGCGGCTAACAGTGAGATCTAAGATGCTCGTTTAATCCAGTTTTGTACTAGTTAACTGAAAATGGCTTAGTTTAAGTATTAATCTTCACACTGGGAATCAAACTCATCTCGACTGTTCATGAACTGTTCATTGAACAATTTCTCCATTCTATTTTGAATGTACTTCAGTAATGCTTGTATACTGTTGTGCATTCAACTACAATAAAGAGAGAAAACATTTTCATGATTCAGTTTCTTTTTTTTTCTTTCAACCTACACACATTGAATAAGAATGTAAATTATCAAGATATACAACACTAAAAAATAATCTTTTTTTTCCTATGGTTTTTCACAATTATACAACAGATGTCTACTTGGTAACAAAATATTTCACTGTTTCTAAGATAAAAATTCTACCATTCATCATATTGATGGATTACATATTGAGGGGAAACAAAAACATAATGACAAAGTTTATAAACAAAGATGCATAGTGGCTAGCAGTGGAATCCAGTTTGACGAGCTTTTCGTCCTATTTGAGACTCGTCAAATGGATGTACCTGCATCTCAGGTTTGTTAATATTCACTCTGGGACTCGAACCCTGTATTGTTCGCTTCAAGAGCCATCGCAGTGTTCACTTACCAACTGAGTCCTGATAGCCACTTGCTTGTTCAATGGGGTGAAGTTTAAATTCACTTAGTATTGTTTGTTTGAATCTTCTCATTGATGTTTAGGACTGCAATTCATCAGTCACATATTGGCCATATGTGTATACTGTGCGTATTGCCTCGATATTGCATCCTATGCAAACTACTTCGACACTGCTTTAGGTCACAAGCATTATAATGGTTGGCAGTGGAATCCAATATGAAGGTTTCGTTCTAATTGGGACTCATCAGCCGAATGTACTTGCATCTAGCCACCAGCAGTCTTAAACATCAATGGGAAGATTCAAACAAAACAATATCAAGTGAATTTAAACAATAACAAACTGATTATAATGATGACTGTGATTCATATTGATAATCCTAGAAACAGAATTCTTTTTTTTTTTTGTATTTTTCACAGGTAACTAATTTTTTTTCCTTTTTAAATAAACTCCATATGTTTTAAATATAGGTGTAAGAT